TGGCTGATTGGAGGCAGGGTTATCGGAGTTAGCGAGGTAGTTGTCAGCGTTTGCAGCACCGCTTTTCTCCCTTTCGTTTATCATTCCTGTTTTGTATATTTCAGACCTTGTAGTTGTATTTATACTCTAATAGATGCTCATGACTAGTGACACCCCAATGTCGGGCTGTGTTTGGGTTGTACTTCAGCATTGTTGTGATATTATCTGCTGTTTAGCATTATTAAATCATGTTTTAGCATGCTTTATTGCTGTTTAGTTGTTTAACTTCGAATTGGATATGTGTCGGCTGACCTTGTCTTCATGAGAGGCGCCATCACGACCGGGTCTGGGTTTAGGGCCGTGACACTGGTGTATCAGTTACAAATCCTGCAGTTGCAAATTCTGGACAGGTGCAACTTCCAACTGGTGATTCAGCAGGTATCTCTCAGATTGGAAATTGCTCATTGACAGGAGGTGAAGTCCTCAAATATGTGTTGTGTGTGCTAGTTTTTAAGTTTAATCTCATGTCTGTATCAAAAGTAACAAGAGGTTTGAACTATTACATCACATTCTTTCCTGGGTTTTGTGTGTTTTATGATCCCTTTACTGAGAGGGTGAAGGAGATTGGTAGAAAGGAAGATGGGTTGTATGTTCTGTGTTCACAAAATAAGACAGTTCAGTTTGAAGATATGAAGTCTATGGAAGCAATAAATAGTATACCTGCAGAAATTTGACATAAGAGAATGAGCCATGTTCCCATGTATGTTCTTAGGAAATTCACTATTTTTTAGAATAATGATAAGTTTTGTATTACTCATTGTGAAGTATGTCCTTTAACAATACAAATAAGAGTTCCATTTCCAAGTAGTATTAGCAAGGGAGATAGTATGTTTGCTCACTTACATATGGATGTATGAGGCCCTTTATAAGGTGCCAACACATAATGGAATGATGTATTTTCTGACATTGGTTGATGACTATGGGTTTATTTTCGGCATCTTAAATCTGATGTTGTAGTTTTAGTGAGGGATTTTATTGTGATGGTGGCTACTCAATTTGGTTAGAAAATTAAGGTATTCAGATCTGACAATGGCTCAGAATTCTTCAACTCCAATTGTAGTGATTTGTTCAAAACTAATGGAATTGTTCATCAAAGCTCTTGCTCTTACACTCCATAACAAAATGGAGTGGTTGAGAGAAGGCACAGGCGCATATTAGAGACAGATAGAGCAATAAGAATTCAGGGACACTTACCTATCGGATTTTGGGGTGAATGCATCATTGGGGCTGTGTATATTATTAATAGGTTACCATCTGTAGTACTGGACAATAATTCTTCTTATGAGCTTATCTATGGGAAAGCACCTTATTTGTTGCACATGAGAGTTATAGGATGTTTCTGTTATGCCACGGATGTCAGAAAGAAGGATAAATTTGCCCCAAAGGCAATCAAATATGTTTTACCAAGATATGCTGCAAATCAAAAAGGGTGTAAGCTGTATGATGTAACTAACAGATCTATTTTTGTTAGTAGAGATGTCACATTTCATGAGGACATCTGCCATTTTCAACATATGAGCCCTCCTATTAGTTTGCCTAATATTTCTCTGCATCACATACCTACACTAACGCATACACAGATTGTCTCTTCCAGCCCAGACTACTTGTTATTTCATTCAGGCCAGCAATCACCAATGTTGAGGGAACCTGATATAGAGTTAGACAGGTTCATCACTGATCCCATTAAACAACTAGTACAACATCAGGAAGTCTTGCCCATAGCAGACTCTCTTTCACCATCTTAGGATACACATGTTTAGTCTTTAGCTCCCATTTCTCAGGAGCCACTTGTTGATATTGAGCCAATACAGAATGCAGTCAGGCAACCAGGGAGAGTCAGAAAGCCTCCCATCTGGCTGAAGGACTATGTAACTCAAGGCAAAGGACAGACAGTGGCAAACACATGCCTTTATCCTATTTGAGCAGTGGTCAACTATGATCATCTGTCCAAGCCCTACCTGAACTTTGTGGCACATGTCTCTAGCATCCATGAGCCCAGATCATATCAGAGGTTGCCAAAGATAGGAAGTGGATGGAAGCAATAAAATTGAGATACAATTATTGGAAGAAAACAAGACCTGGGAGGTTGTATCAATACCTAAGGGGAAGAAGGCCATAGTGTGTAAATGTGTTTGCAAGATCAAGTACAAGGCAAATGGTGAAGTGGAAAGATTTAAATCAAGGTTAGTGGCCAAGGGCTACAATCAAAAGGAGGGAATTGACTACCAAGAAACATTCTCTCCTATTGTCAAAATGGTCACTATTAGAGTAGTTGTTCCTTTAGCTGCAGCTGAAGGTTGGACCTTACATCAAATGGACGTCTACAATGCCTTCTTGCAAGGTGATTTACATGAGGAGGTATACATGGACCTTCCTCAAGATTTCAGTTTTGAAGCTGGCAAACATCAAGTATGCAGGTTACACAAGTCCCTCTATTGACTTAAACAAGCATCCGTGCAATGAAACATTAAGTTGGTCTCAACATTGATTGATTCTGGTTATACAGAGAGTCATTTGAACTATTCTTTGCTCACCAAAAAATCAGGCAACAAACTAGTGGTGATTCTGGTTTATGTGGATGATCTCTTAATCACTGGACATGATCTTGAGCTCATTAATGTCACAAAGGTTGTTCCGCAGAACAGTTTCAAGATAAGGGATTTAGGCGAGCTTAGGTATTTTTTGGGGATAGAATTTACTAGAAGTAATGGAGGTATTTTGATGCATCAACTCAAATATTCTATGGAATTAATCTCAGACATGGGGCTAGCAGGTGCTCGACCACTTGGTGCACCAGTGGAGTTGAATCAGAAGCTTACCAGCAGTGAATTTGATGCCCATGTTGGCTCATCCTCTGATCGATCACTAGAGGATCCTAGCAGCTACCAAAGACTTATGGGTAGACTGCTTTACTTGACCATCACTAGGTCAAACATTGCTTTTGATGTGCAATGTCTGGGCCAATTTATGCCTGCTCCTAAAGCCTCTCACACGGAAGCAGCCATCAGGGTAGTGAGATATGTCAAACATGCACCTGGCCTTGGTATCCTTATTTCATCTAGCAGCTCTCCTACACTTCAGCCTTTTGTGATGCAGACTAGGCCCTAACATCAGAAAGTCAGTTACAGGATACTTGATCAAATTTGGAGACTCTCTCATATCTTGGAGATCCAAAGAAGCAGGCAACCATTTCTAGAAGCTCAGATGAAGCTGAATTCAGGAGTCGTGCAACTACTGTGGCTGAGATTGTTTGGCTCATATGTCTATACAAAGAATTGGGAGTTTCCTTACATTTGCCTATTCCTATGCACAGTGACAGCAAGTCTGCCATACATATTTCTGCCAATCTTGTGTTCCACGGACGGACTGAGTATATGGATATTAAGTGTCACTTCATTCGAGAGAAGATTCATCAAGGTCTGGTGGACACCCTTTATGTGCCATATCAGAGCAACAGGCTGGCATCTTGACTAAGGGCCTTCTTATTGCTCAACAATGTTATCTTCTATCCAAGCTAGGAATGAATAATATCTTCATCTCTCCTAGGCTTGGGTGGGGGGGGGGGGGAGGGGTGTAAAGGAAATAGATAGATGTACTACAGTGCACTAATGTTGAGCTGCACACTAGCTGGGGTCAGCTGTACATTGTAGTTAGTTGGTTGGTTAATTTAGTCGATTAGGAAGTTGTATATATTGTTAGCTACAGTAGGTATTTAGAACAGGGGCGCCGAAAAATTATACTATATATATAAGGCAAAATCTGTTTTTTACCTCTATATATTAAGTTTTGAACACTCTTAACACAATCCAAAAGTGTAGTTTAGTGGTCAAGGGGGTTCAACCTTTACATAAGGTCATGGGTTCAATTCCCACTAGCTACAAAAAGAAATTTTTGAACCCCCTCCTGGCTCCGCCACTGATTTAGAACAGAGCTTCATTCTATAAGTGCATGTTGATTAGATCAATCTAGAAGCCATCGATTTTTCCTTGCCCTGTTTTTATTCTTCTTCTACTCTTAATCTCTTCGTTCATGGATGAGAATCAACCTACTTAACAAAATTATATATATATATATATATATATATATATATATATATATATATATATATATATATAATTCAAACTATTCTTAATCAAACTACATTATTATAGTAGTAATGTTTGTTTGTTTCTAAATTTAATTAATTAAAAATATAACTCTTATATTCTGAGTTTCTTCATCATTTTATTACAAACAGATTCTCTCGAGTCGTGGGGAAGACTTTGTGGAAATTTCTCATGTTGTCTTTATTTTCTTCTTATTCTTAGTTTGACTGACACAGGAATAGACACCAACACTGCCTTACTTCATCAACTGTCGAAAATCTTATGCTATTTCCACAAGGTGTAGACCCCACTTTTGACTAATCGGAAACGAGAAAAATAAGAAAAGATGGAAACTTTGGAAAACGCGTATGTCTGCATTATTATTGAATATTGAATATAGTAGGAAGAATTGAACTGGTCAGCCTTTGTCACACGAACGAATAATGGTAACGCGGAAAGTATACATGAGTTACAAAAAAGGCATATTAATGAGCCACACGTGTGTGACTGGAACTAGAAATTCATATACTCACTCCGTTTACTTTTAATTGTCTACTTTGAACTTTTCATCAGGGGCGGGAAGCACCCATTAACCCAGAAGCAGACTCTGCATAATTATACAGAAAATACAGGAAAAACGGATATAACTAATTAACAAGCACCCACTAACCAAAAAGGTCTCTGGGTGCTTTGGTTATGAGATGAGTTTAGAGTTCAAACTATGAATTGGCCAGGGATCGATTCCTGCTTGATGCAAATTTTTTAATATAGCCAGAAATTAATATGCCTGTTTTGTTATTTTCCTTGTTGACTTTTTGCGGACCTTTTCTTTTGTTTTATTTTTCCTATTCCTAATAAAAGTAATAGTCTTAAAAGTTAAAAGTAGCTTCTTAAAAAGCCAAAAACCCTTCTTCTCGGCTTCTCCTTAGAAAGAAAACGCAGCGCACTTGTTCTCCCCAGTAATTTCAAAATCAGAACATAAATAAAAGGTAACAAAATTTGGTATTTTAAATTTTTTATTCAAGCTAGAGGAAACAGGAATTGGGGCTTTCTCATATTGCTTATGCTTTGTTAAAATTAAAATATATTCAATGAATTTTTTGTATTACTTTGCTGAAAAGAGTCAGTGACTACAATATTTTTGTGATAAAAAATTATTTTTGGTACTTGTCATAAAGTAAATTTACTTGTTTATGTTATTTACTTGACACCGAAACTAAAATTTTGGGACAAATGAAGATTATATTAGCAACACTGGTCACTGGGTTATGCAATTGATGAATTGGTGCTCATACACTCATTGCTAGCTTCGAAAATTTGTAAGTTTTCTTAGCTTTTTAAAGACCAAACTTTTATGTTGTATATTGTTTTAATTTTTCAGCGGACAGAAGAATGGACTTAAATATGTTGTTATTGTCTTGTTGTTTGTGTTGTTTATAGAGAGACATGGGTTTCATAATAGGAATTAATTGGATTGCATGAATTAATTTTTTGATAAGATTGATTAGGACTGAATCTTATTTTGTAGGAGTTTTTCATCGATCTTTGTGAATCGAGATGGATAAGTTTGTCACAAGGCTACCCAGTTCTAGTTCTAGTTCTCATCCATCTATTGCTCCATCCATAGCTCCGGAAACTCAGAGGGATCCATTTTTTTCAAATCTTGATTTGGAATCTCTCGAACCTGACCCGGGAGATAGAAAATCCATTACAGAATATAGTCCTAATATACGTGATGAAGTTGGAAGACATTATATTAAAAGTGGACCTTGCCAGCTCGTGAAATATGATTTTTCTAAAACTAAGTTTGGAAGGTATTTGTCCTAGTTGGTTCAAGGGTAAAGATGCTGCATATTGTTTATGTTGTTATTTGTTTAAAAATGAACATGAAATTCATGGAAATATGGGAGATGCTTTTACAAAAAATGATTTTAAAGCTTGGAACAAGGCTATTGAAAGATTTAAAACACATGTTGGAGGGGTAGATAGCATCCACAACAAGTGTTTCAATAGGATGATTGATTTAATGAATCAATCACAATCAAGAGGTTCTTTAACATGAAAGGAATTAGTGACCTTGCTAAAGTGTTGGTTAAGTCAGATTTGCATCAAACTTGGCCACTTGTTTATTTGCTTATCAAGTTAACTCTCATTCTTCCTGTTGCTACTGCTTCTGCGGAACGAACTTTCTCATCCATGAACTACATAAAAAATGAGCTTCATAACAGCATTGGTGATGAATTTTTAAATGATTGTTTAGTTTGCTATGTAGAGCGTAAGATATTTGTAACCGTAAGCAATGATGCTATTATTGATCGTTTTCAACATATGAAAAGTCTTCGAGCACAGCTGTGACTTGTGACTAGATATCTTTTTTTTCTATAATGTAACATTATTAGTAGTTGATTGTGGCTAGTGAATAGAAGTCTTTTTTTGCTAATGATAATATTAACCGTAGTTTTTCTAATAAAGTTTTTACTATCGTAGTTAAATAGTTGTGAATTTATACTATGTGATGGGTAACAACTTTTCACTTAAGAGAGTGAGCACCCACGACCTTAAAATCCTGGATCCGCTACTGCTTTTCATGTCCCTTAAGAAATAGTAATAAATAAAGTGCATATATAATTTACCATGATATCCATATTAATCGGTGTATAGTCTTAATAGATTTGGAAAATAATTTGGAATGAGTAATTAATGCGAAGGGCAAAACAAGAAAAATAAATTATTTTTCTCTTAATATGCGAAAAGTGACAAGTAAAAATAAAAATAAAATTGTTATGAAACAATAAAAGAAGAAGAAGAGTATTATAGAGAAAAGTAGAGAGAGAAAATTCTTATTGATTTGGGATGAATTACAATTGAATAAATCCCTCTATTTATAGGGAGAGGGTGACTTAGCCACCAAACAATGAACCCCGAAATCTCTCTAAATATAGACATTCACCATAAATACAATTCTATTTATAACACACCCCCTTAAATGTCTATTCAACAAATAATGTGTCTCGTTAAAACCTTAACTAAAATAAAACCCAGTAGGAAAAAAATTCTAGAGAAGGAAAAAGAGTACACATATCTAACAATACGCCTTTTGGTTGCCTCGTTAAAAACCTTGCAAGGAAAACCCAGTGGGACAAAACCTTGTAAGGAAAAAAGAGTACAACGCGTATTAACTCCCCCTGATGAGAGCATCAATTCACATCCTTAAGTATTTGCATTCCAATCTTGTGCACCATCTTCAAAAGATCGTTGGTAGATATTTGATAAATAAACCAGCCATATTAACTTCAACGAATTTGTTTCACCTTGAAATCATCATCCCTGATAGATGTATTTTCTTCATATGATCTTGTTGGAATCATCATTTCAATATCTTCACATAGAGGTGATAACTCTTGCTATCATATTATCATGCATATAGTTATAGCAAGATACATTTGTGCACAAATTGCACTGAGGATGTAGTACTTCATGACCATGAATTCTATATGCTTTAAGCAATTTAAATCATTCAGGGATTGTTAAGTTATATAAGCCATATAATAGACTTTAGATGCATATCAAGTTTTCATGTCATGCTAGACATATAAGATATCGAAAACTGATTGCACATACCATTGATTTTATACTTTCAAGTGTTTGAACTACATGTTCAAAACTACATGTCTTTCATATGAAACCAAATCTATTCGAATTGTTTCTTCAGACTTAAGATCCTCATATATATATTTAGCGCTATTATAGATGTCGTCGACAAATATTTTATATCAGTTTCAATATTTTTTCATAAAGACATAACATAGAGATCTCTTCATTCATATATTCAGGTACCTGAATCTCTCATGAGATTTTATGAAGTATTATGTCATGTGTCTTCTAGATCACTTGCCTCCTTTTGTTATGATCATTTAGATCATTTGCTCATCTTCTTTGTCAAGAAGTTTATTTGAAACCAATTTGTCTATGCGCTTTAAGCGTACCATAGACTTTGTCCTTCTAGGACTTAATATGAGCATTTACAATGAGAATATAGTTACTTTCTTTGGGCCAGCAAATGCGTCTAGCATGCTTTGCAATATATTGCAAATGAATTATCTTTTTATGAACTTCAAGTTCATATTATTTTAGTCGAGGATCTAGATGTACAAATGATAATTCATTCCGCGTAACTTTTTCTCAAATGTTATCATCTCTCTCCATCATGTTAGAAAACTAACTTGCTTCATCATCTTTGTGCGTTATGGTGTTAATCAAAATATACACCGCACATCAATAATAATAAGATGGAATTATTTGGTTCCTGACCCCGAACCACTTGTGAGGGGAGAAAATAATATACTTTGGTATATAACGTATATCAAACTGATATAGATAACTTTGTTCTCATAAGTAATTGTTTAGCAATTAAGTAGAGACACTTAATAAATCATTTTGCTAAACCAACTGTGATGTAAACCAACTTATCAAGATGAACTTCTTGAATAAAAAATCTGGAAATTATGCTCGAAATTAAATTATTGAGCAAGTTACCTCGCAAAACACCATGTTGCGGGTTATTAATAATCGCACATGTAACCATCTCATAGATGCATCTTATGTGGTATACATGGCAGGTGAATGGGCCTATATTCACCTTTAATATTTCCAGCATTCATGGGATTCAATCCCAATTTTAGTTGGTATATTAATTAATGAGAACAGGCAACATAAGAAAATTCATAAAGAACTTTCTAGTTCTTTAATATTTACCCATGTGAATTCTCTTTTATTTTTGCACATCATGCTTAAATTGATATGGCTAAACTGATTATGTCAATTGGATAAATTATCAATATTGATAAAGACTAGGTTTACACCATGACGCTTGCAATTATCGATAAACTCCAAATTTATTATGATATGGGTTTTTATATCAATAAACATCCACTTTATTGTGACATTCTTTTGTTTGTGTAGTACAAACTGGAGAATAAAGCGGGTAGCTTTTCACATACATATTATCCCGCTACAAGTTGTAGTAATAGAAGATATTAAATCTTTCCTTTATTTATAGTCTCAATATAACCAACTGCTTTCGCGAATACTTTAGAAACTAAATAAGTTTCTTTGAGACTTACTACGACAATTTTATTTCTCCAAAATAATAATAATTGGCTCTTCCAGAGCTATCAATTAATTTGGTACTACCACATATTCATCAACATCAATATGGTGAATATCTCTTTTAAAGAGAAAGTTATACCATTATGGTTATGGTCAAAATTATATGCAAGTTTTGTTTCTTGCATTACCGCTGTCTTTTAATAATCACAATGCCAAAATATTTTGGCGTACAATAAGTACGTGACCAATGACCATTTATGCCATAATAATGACATTATTTTCTTATTTTCTCTCAAACCTCCTTCTAGAGGTGAGTGTGGTATATACCACAAGCACGCTCATATTCTTCCAAAAATGAATATGTATTCTTAAATCAGATGTTGTCACATTCACATCATGAATGAACCATAATCATCTATATGTGCTTTATAAAATCTCATGTCAAATCGATGACAAATATAACTTTCACAGAGTGAAGGATTATTTTGAGAATCCTTATTATTCTCATTATCACAATGATGACGATTATAATTTCGTCTATTGCCACGTCCACATCCATTGATACCTTCACGGTAATAATTTTGTCTTCTTTCAGACTTATCACATATTGCTATCACATTCTCTTAAGGGAATGAGAATGGAGCAAATTCAATGGGACGGGTTTTCACTTCTTGTGCTCACGATCATACATGACTTTGATCATGGCAAGACATAGAAATTTTACCACTTCAGGTGGTTATAATTTCTTACAAACTCCATTAGAGTTGTAATCAAAATTTATTGTCTTTGCTTGTATTTAAAATCAAATTATAGAAAAAAAGAGAAAAATACGATAAAATACTTACTTTAAATCTAGAATTTTAGCATGAAGGAAATTCATAGAACAATTGACAATCATTATGATCAATCACAAAGCTTCTACTCAATTGATTAGAGTCTCGTGCTGATGACGTGTTATGAAACAATAAAAGAAGAAGAAGAGTATTATAGAGAAAAGTAGAGAGAGAGAATTCTTATTGATTTGGGATGAATTACAATAGAATAGATCCCTCTATTTATAGGGACAGTGTGACTTAGCCACCAAGCAATGAACCCTAGAATCTCTCTAAATATAGACATTCACCATAAATACAATTCTATTTATAACAAAAATCTTATTTTTAGAATACTTGACAACTAAAAGTGAACGGAGAGAGTAATGGATTAGGAAAATACTAGAATATCGTACCTATCGTTCTTGAGCTGACTGATCTTGTTTCATATTAGTGGGAAGTGATCATTTTATTCGTCAAGCGAATGATCAAACAAATTATGGTTCATGCATTTTTTGAAGAATCAGCTTATTTTTTTAATGGAAAATTAAGAAAATATAACATTGTTGATCCATCATAGGAGTATTCTTTATTAGAGCAGTTGACAATTAGATCTACCTTTGTCCATTATTCTCATATCTGTGATTGCACAACAACAACGTTTAGCTTGAAGATATAATTGTTTCTCCAATTTCATCGATCTAACTTTTATTTCATAGAAAAAAATTCACTTTTTTCAATATTTGCTCATATGAAGGTGAGATATAGAGTATACAACACTAAAAGAGTGAAATTTTCTCTTAAAAATAATTGCTAAATTAAAATAAACGAGCTTTACTTCGTCGAAAAACGTAAAAAATATCACGTGCCTTGCATTAGTACATTACCTTTCGAAAAATATAGCAAGATGAGACGAGTTTCGAAAAAGTTTCAGATTTGCATCATGACTAATTTATGTACAACTATATTATCACATATAAAAAAAATATATATCCTCCCATAAATTAAGTAATGGAGAAATATAATTAACACACAAATTACAACCTTTAGAAGAGTTAACAAATAAAAGTCTCATTATTTTGACAAGCATCTAATGAAGCTTAATTATCGAATTTCAATTAACTGATTATTCTTTCAAAGAAAACATAATGCTCTTACATTATTTTGTGAACATATTCTTACCATGTTTGTGGTGTATTGCTGTACTCATTTCATATAGAAAGAATTACAAGAAAATACAC